ACTTCTCTGCAGTGTGGAGAGAAATCTTAACCTGGGAGTTGGGGGATGCCAGTTTCACGGGGCCAGACACAGAGAGGATGCTCAAAATGTGTGTTGAAGGGAGAACAGAACTGAGTGTCTGAGCACATGTGCCCAGTTATAACCAGAAAAACTAAGGGAGATGTTGTTTCTTATGTATCTCTGATATTTCCTCCTATCTTCCTTGGCAGTTGCTATGGTTTGAATCCATGCCCCAAAGTTCATGTGTTGAAAAGTTAATCCCAGGCCGGGCGCGGTGGCTCAAGCCTGTAATCCCAGCATTTTGGGAGGCCGAGGCGGGTGGATCACGAGGTCAGGAGATCGAGACCATCCTGGTCAACATGGTGAAACCCCGTCTCTACTAAAAATGCAAAAAAAAAAAAAAAAAAAAAAATTAGCTGGGCGTGGTGGCACGTGCCTGTAATCCCAGCTACTAAGGAGGCTGAGGCAGGAGAACCGCCTGAACCCAGGAGGCGGAGGTTGCGGTGAGCTGAGATTGCGCCATTGCACTCCAGCCTGGGTAACAAGAGCGAAACTCCGTCTCAAAAATAAAAATAAAAAAATAAAAAAATAAAAAGTTAATCCCCAATGCAGGTGTTTCAAGGTGGGGTCTAATAAGGGGCGATTAGGTCATGAGGGCTCTGCATCATAATAAGAGTAGTAATGTCATTCTCTCTTTTTTTTTTTCCAGGTAGAAACTTTAAAGTAACTTTTATTAACATAGTAGATTTTAGGCCGGGTGCGGTGGCTCAAGCCTGTAATCCCAGCACTTTGGGAGGCCGAGGCGGGTGGATCACGAGGTCAAGAGATCGAGACCATCCTGGTCAACATGGTGAAACCCTGTCTCTACTAAAAATACTAAAAATTAGCTGGGCATGGTGGCGTGTGCCTGTAATCCCAGCTACTCAGGAGGCTGAGGCAGGAGAATTGCCTGAACCCAGGAGGCGGAGGTTGCGGTGAGCCGAGATCGTGCCACTGAACTCCAGCCTGGGCAACAAGAGCAAAACTCCGTCTCAAAAAAAAAAAAAAAAAAAAAAAAGTAGATTTTATATTAACTGTATTTTACCACAATTATTTTTTTGAGATGGAGTCTTGCTTGCTTGTCCACGTTGGAGTGCAGTAGCGCCATCTCAGCTCACTGCAACCTCAGCCTCCCGGGTTCAAGCGATTCTCCTGCCTCAGCCTCAGTAGCTGGGATCACTGGCATGTGCCACAAGCCTGGCTAATTTTCATATTTTTAGTAGAGATGGGGTTTCACCACGTGGGCCAGGCTGATCTTGAACTCCTGACCTCAAGTGATCCACACGCCTTGGCCTCCCAAAGTGCTGGGATTACAGGCATGAGCCACCACATCCAGCCAGCAGATAAATGTCCTTTTCATTGCAGTGAGCTAGTTATCATGAAAGTAAGATTGCTGGCCGGGCGCGATGGTTCATGTCTATAATCCTTGCACTTTGGGAGGTCGTGGCGGGTGGACTGCCTGAGCTTAGGAGTTTGAGACCAGCCTGGGAAACACAGTGAAATCCCATCTCTACTAAAATACAAAAAATTAGCCAGGCGTGGCAGCGTGCACCTGTAGTCCAAGCTACTCAGGAGGCTAAGGCAGGAGAATTGCTAGAACCTGGGAGGCAGAGGTTGCAGTGAGCCCATATCGCGCCATTGCACTCCATCGTGGGTGACAATGTGAGAGTCTTGTTTCAAAGGGGGGAAAAAAAGACCTAAAATGATAAAATTCTTTGAAAAAAAGAAGAAACACAAGCATATCTTCATGACAAGATTTGGCAATGATTTCTTGGGTATGACTCCAAAAGCACAAGCAACCAAGGAAAAAACAGGTAAACTGGACTCCCTCAAAACTTAAAACTTAATCAAAGGTCATTCTGGAAAGAGTAAACACTCAACTCACAGAATGGAAGATAATTTGCAAATCAGGTATCTGATAAGATATTATGATCTAGAATAAATAGAGACCTTCTACCATCTAACAACGACACAAAAACTCTTCTAATTTAACAATGACCAAATAACTTCAATAGACACATCTCCAGAACAGATATAAAAGTGGCCAACGAGCATATGAAAAAAGACTCAACTTCAGAGTCATTGGGGAAATGCAGAATCAAAACCATAGTGAAATAGCACTTCCTCCTCACTAGGATGGCTGTTATTTTCAGATACAAAGTAACAAGTGTTGTGAGGATGCAGAGATACTGCAACCCTTGAACGTTGCTGCTGGGAGTGCAAAATGGTGCAGCTGCTGTGGAAAACTTTATGGCAGTTTCTGGAAAAGTTTCCAGCAATACCACTTCTGTGTATACCCCATCAATAATTGAAGAAAGAGACTCACAGATATCTGCACAGCAGTGTTCATAGCAGCATGATTCATTATAGGCAAGAGATGGAAACAACCCCAAATCCATCTATAGATATATATATGATGGAAGATTATTAGCCTTAAAAGTGGAGCACATTTTGACACTGGCTGTCCCATGAATGGGTCTTTAAAACATGCTAAGTGGAATAAGACAGACTTTCCCTGAGACTGTAGGTGCCGGCTGTGGGGAGAAGGTGATTGGTCAGGAGTAGGGGCTCTGGACATTTGGACCGTTCCTCCTGCAGCTTTCTTGTGCCTTCAGAACCTGTGCAAGCCTGATCTCTCTGCCCAATGAGTCCCCCCTTCCATCCGGCGGCCGTTTACTCAGTTTCAGGTTGCGTAAGACATGCAACCAGAAAACATGGTGTGACTGAGCTCTGCCCTACTTTCACTTTTAGATAGCTCTGGCTGAACTTGCAGCCTAACTAAAAATAGGATTTTGTTTTCTTTTCACTGCTGATTATAAAGTCATAGATTTCTGAGAAATCCATGGTGTACAGGAAAATGATTTAGTAATTTATTGCTGAATTCTGATGCATGCTGTCTTGTTAGTATTTCAGACACAAGATAGGAAAGACACTTGTTTAGTGAGGAAGCGGCTTGCAAGACACTCAAGAGTAGATACACAATTGCCTGCCCTAAGTGAATTGGTGGGAAATAAGAACTGCTCTATCCTTGATTTTGTTTATTTATTATTTTTAGAGGGAGTCTTGCTCGACTGCCAGGTTGGAGTGCAGTGGTGCAATCTCGGCTCACTGCAACCTCTGCCTCTCGGGTTCAAGCCATTCTCCTGCTTCTGCCTCCCAAGTAGCTGGGACTATAGGCACCATGCCCGGTTAGTATTTGTGTTTTTACTAGAGACGGGGTTTCACCACATTGGCTAGGGTGGTCTCTATCTCTTGACCCTGCGATTCACCCACCTCGGCCTCCCAAAGTGCTGGGATTACAGGCATGAGCAACTGTACCCAGCCTATCCTTGATTTTTTCATAAAGAGGACCCTAGGACCTTCCATAGGTGTGAGAAAGTGTGTGATGGAAGGAGGATAAAGGATGATGTGGAGGTTTCTGACCTGAGAGAGGGGACTTGGGGACTTGAGTCCCCACATCCATCCTGAGTTTATTTGCCCAATGTCAGTTTGTACAGGAGATGCCACCATGAAAGGTACATGAAAGTACACAGGTTGAGCCAGAACTATCTGAAAGTGAAAGGTGCTCTGCAGCACTTTCACTTTTAGATAGTTCTGGCTGAACTTGTGACCTAACTAAAGAGACAAACAGATTTTCAAGAAATCCATGATGTGGAGGAAAATCATTTTGTAATTTCTCGCTGGATTCTGATGCACACTATCTCGTTATTTCAGACAGAAGTGATAGGAAGGACGTGTACTGAGGAAACAGTTAGCAAGACACTCAGAGTAGACACACAATTGCCTGCCCTGGTGAACTGGCAGGAAATAAGAATCACTCCATCCCTGGTTGCTTTATGAAAGTAGAATCATAGGACATCCCATAAGTGTGAGAAAGTGTGTGATGGAGAGAGGACGGTAACGGATGCCGTGGAGGTTTCTGGACTGAAAGAGGGGATTTGGAGCATGAATAACTGAGTGAGTAGCAGGGTAGGAGGGGCTGTTTCTGAGCTGAGCAGGGCTCAGTGGGAGTCATGGACTACACTGAGCAGGGGTCTCATGGGGTCTCTCTTCTTTCTGCCTGGACTCCAAAACTCACAGGTCCCTCTACTCAACCAGGAAAAGGAAGATGGAAACTCATATGCTGTCTGCCCTGAGTTCCGGAATTTGGGATGAACCATTTCTTTTCTGGAAATGCTAAGACCCAGACTTAGCAACAATCTCCTCATTTAAAGAGTGCTCACAGATGACCATGTGCTCCTTTCATCCTCCTTCCTGACTTAGAATGGGAAAAGTCATGCTTTTATTGTTTGTTTGTTCTGGGGGGTGTTTGAGACACAGTTTTGCTTTTGTTACCCAGTCTAGAGTGCAATGGCAAAATCTTATCTCACTGCAATCTTGGCCTCCCGGGTTCAAGCAATTCTCCTGCCTCAGCCTCCCGAGTATCTGGGATTACAGGCATGCACCAACACGCCCGGCTTATTTTGTACTTTTAGGAGAGACAGGGTTTCTCCATGTTGGTCAGGCTGGTCTCGAACTCCCGATCTCAGGCGTTATGCCCTCCTCGGCCTCCCAAAGTGCTGGGATTACAGGTGTGAGCCATCGCGCCCGGCCTGGGAAAAGTCACGTCACAGAGGGGGAGCTGTAGGCTCAAATAATGGACAGGGCAGTCAGTACTCTTCCGAGTGTAAATCTTGGTCAGAGATGGATGCAAGGCAAACCATTTTACCAGAAAACACAACGTCATAACTTCATGAGAAGCATGGAGGCTGAGCTGCACAACTCGTCACCGTCACGCCAGCATCCTCACCTGTGCATTTCTCTGGTGATTCCCTGCCCCCCCAGCATACCCCTTACTGTCATTTCTGCTGCATCACAGTCACAGGCCTGAAAGTGAAACAGAGTCTATTTCTGTCGCCCCCTCCCCTCACACTTCTGGGAAATCATGCTAGGAGGGGCTTGGAAACAGAAACAAAGCCAGGAGGCAGGGCCAACATGGAACCTTTAAGTGCTGCAAATCAGAGACTCACACAGAAGACCAGATACTCTTCCGAAGAGCTACACAGAGGAAGACAACAATGTCACCGCTAAGTGTAAGTCTAAAGGCCCAGCCTTCAATAACCTCAATTTATATAAAGTAAGAAAGAACCAGGGGTGATTTCATGAGATGAAAGTAGAATTTCTATTGTGAACACGTTACTGAGAGTTGTGAAAGTGTGAAAGAGAGACTCTGGGGCTGTGATATTTGAGATGCTGGTGGGGTGTTTGGTGTGGACCCTGGACCAGTGTAACCCTCTGTGAGTATGTGGTGGTGTCTGATGAGAGTGAACTCTGCTGTGTTGATGTGACTTTAGGTAGGAGTGGACGGCTAACCAGGGTGGGTGGGTGTGTGCCCGAGTGTAAAGGGGTGACTGTGTTTTGTCTTCATGACTGTGATATGCGTGTGTGTGTGAGCACAGCTCGACCAGTGCGTGAGCATCTTTATATGCACAGTGAGCCGGTGTGACTCAACAGAGCTGCATGGCTCTGTGTGACTGTGGGTGTGTGTGCTGGGAGGTGACTAGGTATTGAACTAGGAGCATGCAAGTGTCCTTCTGAGCACGTAAAAGTTTATCCCAACATTGCAGTGCCTCTGATGAAGCAGCTGGGCACTTCCCATGTGTGTCAGTGTGGATCCCGGGTGACAGAACTGGTGGGGATATTGTGGACCATGAGATATCGAGGAGTCACCTCTGAGCAGAATGCATGAATCATCAGGTGCCTCTTTTCAAGCAGAGTTAGGGAAAAGAAACACAGACTATGGGGCTGATGGTTCCTCAGGTGGGACCTGCCCAGAAAGACCACCTACTCCTGCCTCCAGCCTCAGGTCTCTCTGTCTCCCAGCCTGTCCATCCCATTGTGGGAGAAGAGGGTGAACAGATCCTGGCTCACTAGGGAAGGCCACTGAGGGATGTGGTTTCAGAGACTGAGTCTCCCCAAATAGAGAAGAAACCAGTGTATCCTCAGTTCATACAGAACTTACAGTGCATATTAATCAACAACTTGCCAGGGTTTGTGGCTCATGCCTCTAATGCCAGTGGTTGGGGAGGCCGAGATGGATGAATCACTTGCGGTGAGGAGTTCCAGACCAGCCTGGGCAACATAGTGAGAGCCTGTCTCTACCAGAAATGTAAAGATTAGCCAAGCATGTTGGTGTGCACCTTCATTCAGGAGGTTTTGGCAGGAGGATCACTTGAGTCCAAGAGTTTGAGGCTACAGTGAGGTGTGACCATGCCACTGCACCCCAGGCTGGGTGACAGAGTAAGATTCTGTATCAAAAAACCCCAAACCCCAACACCAAACAGAGAAATAAAATCTCACAATATTTAGATTACCTCCCATCTCTTCCCTGGCCCACAGGCTTCATGTGTGCAAGTCCTAGGGCCGTGCTGTCACCAACGTGGCCCCTTCTGGGAAGGACGTCCATTGCCCTCAATGATTGTGATGCATGTGCATTCCACACACAGGGTTTCCTGTTCTTTCATCGTTTTCTTCTCGCTTTCAACAACTGTTTTTCTTACTGGATTGAATCTCCTTACTGTTATATCGTCACATCTTGTTTTCACAGTCTTAGGGTTGAACATGATCACAGGTCAGTGTTTCAAAAGGAACCTCCCTGTTCTATTGGGTAACTTCCAACAGGCCCCATACATGGCAGAGATTAGGATAAAACTGTCACATATATTAATTTATTGATTACTGGGGAAACCGTACAAAGCAGGAATCTTTACTTATTCTTCTGGTCCTGGGGAAATCGAGGTAGGGAGCATTCAAGTAATGGATGTACGATGGCACTGCTAGTAAGAGGCAGAATGAGGACCAGAATCCAGGCAGCCTGGCTCCTGAATCCTTGTTCTTACCTATGGGTCCCCCATTTCTTCAGGAATATGACCTGACTGTGCCAGGGTGGGCGGGAGGCCTAAATCTTCTATTTGATCTCTAACCTCCTGCACCATGACAATCTGTTACAGGAGGGGAGGCCACACCTGGTTCTGCCTCTCTCACCCACTGTAAATTTCTTGGCAGGTGCCACACACACAGCCTGTGTCATTGTCTGCTGGTTCTTGTGTGACGATCAAAGGGACACCGATCATCTCTTTCATGTGAGTTCTCCATGGTCCATGGCAGGGGGCTGGAGGAGAAGAAAGAATATTTGTAGAAGGGCTGACCTCATGTGTGAGTGATGCAGAAACGTCTAGTTGGCAGGATGGAGGCACCGTGCAGGTGCAGGTCCTGGAGACCCTGCAGCGCCTGGCATGAAAGCTGCAGTGGCTGCACTGTGAGCCAGTCATGGGGCCTAGGGGAGGACACTCAGGGCATTGGGACTGTGGCTCTTTATCAAGAGACATAGACGGTTCATGAAATTGACAACTCATAGGCCCAGGTTAGTGCCTGTGGCTGAGTTTACATCTTGGGGTGAGGGAGCTCTTAAGAGCAGGAGGAGCTGAAGCAGCTCCACAGGGAGGAGGCCTGCAGTGTCACTAGGAAGTCTTCTGTCTGCCCTGGGAAAGCGGGGAAGGAATTTGTGTGTGTCCAGTACGTGCCCCACAAGGGAAGGACCTGCCCAACGCCCTGTGTGCTTTAACCTCAGCAAGGACCCGCAGCTGCAGGTGGATTTCCACACTGGGATGAATGAGCACTCAGACATCGCCTTCCATTTCCGAGTGTACTTTGGCTGCCGGGTGGTCATGAACAGTCGTGTGTGTGGGGCCTGGCAGCATGAGGTGATAAGCCACAATATGCCCTTTGAGGATGGCAAACCGTTTGACCTGTGCATCTCCCTGCGGGACAATGAGTACCAGGTGAGCACCCCAGGGGCTCTCAGCACCCGGCCTCCATGGGCTCCCAGAGCAGCAGGCAGCTCTTTTTGAGCTGGTCCCATCAGTCCCTTGGGGCCCATCTCCCATAACTGCTCCTGCCCCAGGCTTTTCCTCACAGAGCACCCTCTGCTTGCACGGCCACCCACAGCTCTTATTCCAAATTTGACCAGGGTCAAGGTTGGCTCACATGCCATTTTCCCCAATGTGGTGAATCTTCTCTGTCTTCACCCACAGTTGTCATTTCCACTTAGGCTCTTACATTTTCACTCGGCCAAATGGATAAAACATGCATATGAATAAGGTTGTTTTATCAGTTCACAACCGAGTCTTCCTCTCAGTCCTGAACCCCAATCCTACCCCCAGAACAACAGTATTAGTGGTTTCTCTACACAAATTCCAGAGACAATCTATGCTTATGGACACATATAGATCTGTGGTTTCATTTCTTTTTAAATCAATGCTGTTTTAAGTTTCTCTACACATTACACTTTAGGAACTGGGGTGGAATTGTTGTCAAATAATATATATTGGAGCAATTTTCCACTTGTGGTGCTGCCCCAGTTTTTCAACATTGTACAATATTCCTGTAGAGGAGTTACCCAAAATTATTCAACTTGATGCTTTTGATGAGCATTACGCTATTTTCAGTATTTTGCTCTCACAAATGAATCTTTCTGATGTACTTTTTGTCATAATAAACCTCCCAATTTCTACACTGGAGGATAGTTACAAAGAAATAAAATAGATCAAAATTGTGTCATTTTAAATTTTATAAATTAACACCTAAAAGGTGACTGTCTCTTTAGTTTTAGTAATAAATATTTTCAACCTCCCCGACCTTTTCAAATGGATAGACCCAAAGATTAACATTTTGTTCATATTTAAGTGAGATAACTTTCTCACATGCCTATCAGCTGTTCAGAATAATATCCTGTGTTTGGCAACACCTGTTTTTTTCCTCCTCTCTGAAAACATTTGGATTTTAGTCTTTGCCAACATCATTACAGCTCTGGGTAACTCTAAAGAGAAACTGGGCCATCAGCAGTCATAGGGAATGGGAGTTAATAGTTTGTGGAACTGAAATGCATGCACTCAATGAACACGGTCCAGCACTAACCCCACGGCACGCCCTGTGCAAGATACAGGGATTGACATTCATGAGAGATCCCTGGCCATAGGGATCTTCCAGGTGGGAGGAGAGGCTAAGCAAACAGGTTCTGTGATACACAGAGTGGAAAACCCTCCCTGGAAAAACGAGAGAAAACATTGGGAATAAAATGAGCAACTGTCTGAAATAGGCACGAAGGTAGTCTGTAGAAGAAGTGTGTCTACTGGGTTCTGATGTATAATTAGGAGTTTTCTGGTTGGATACTGTAGGCACTAGGGCTGAGTGGAGACGAGTTCATTTACTGGCATGCTGTATTTTTAATGCGTTTTTCCTCTTGTAGGTACTGGTAAATGGCCAACACAGTTACAGCTTTGCTCATCGACTCCCACCATGTTATGTGAAGATGGTGCAAGTATGGCGGGATGTCTCCCTGAGTTCCATCTGTGTCTGCATTTGAGGGTGATGTCCACACTCCCTGTTGTTGGGGAACAACAGAAACTCCTCATTTCTTTGTGACCATAAAATTCCCAGAGCCTGCTAACAGAATGATCTCTCCTTATGCCTGCCCCTACCCTTGGTCATTAAAACTTCACCAAATTTTTCATCATCTGGTTTTTATTTCAATGGGGAAAAAGACAAAGTGGCACAAGGACACAAGAGACATATCTAGTGTCACAAGGCCACTGGAGTGTCTGAGATGACAAAATGAACATCTTCTACAACCCATAATTTATATCAGACACTATAAACCAAAATTCTTCCTTCATCTTAGATGACTTATTGCAGTGACGTGTTAGGTATCTGTTTACAACAACACAGGCATAATTGGTTTTGGGGAGAAACTTCACAATCTGAGAAACTTCAAGTGAAATATCTTAATTCTTCACTCATTCTAAGAATATTTCTTGTGTCTCAAAACTGCTTGAATTTGTGTGGGATGCACTGAAGGAATTAAAAGAAAAAGCTGAGAAAGTTTACATCAGAAGTTGGGTCCTTACCATAATCCCCATATAAAACTTAACTCAAAATATATCACACAATAAATGTAAGATCTATAACTTTAAAATTTTTAGAAAAACCACAGAAAAACCATAGAAGAATATTACATGACATGGGATCTTGAAATGATTTATTGAATATGACACCAAAAGCACAAGAAACTAAAGAACAGACAAAATGAATTTCATCAGAATTTAAATCTTTGGGTAGGCTTTGCAAGATGGCAGAATCAAGGGCTTTACCAATCTCATGTATCTATGCAGGAAAACACCTCCGTATGAATAAAAAACTAGCTGAGTCCTCAGAGATACCTGGTTTTAACTCTGTGTCACTGAAAGAGGCACCAAAGAGATAGGAAAAACAGTCTTGAATTGCCAATGCCAATGCCACTCCTTGATCCGGACAGCAGTGGTGTGGTGCAGAGTCTCTGGGTACTGGGGGAGGGAGTGCACAGCAATTGTGAGGCATTGGAGTCACTGCTGTCCTGCTAGAGAGGAAGAGAACATGAGATCAAGTGCAGCTGACACACACCAATGAAGGGAGCATTTAAGCCAGCCCTAGCCAGAGGAATATCCCTGATCTTAGCGATTGAAGGATGACTTCCTGCAAACGTTACCAGTAAGGGCTACAGTGCTGTGGGTTTCCAAGTAACCTTGAAAGGCAGTCGAGGCCATAAGGACAGAATTTCTGAGGTGAGTCTTGGGGATGAACTCAGGCCAGAGACAATGGACTGGGGTCTGGTGAGACAAGACGGGGTCTGGAGACCTGCTGAGATGGCAGCTTGGGTGACTAATGGAGTGCTGCTGGCAGTACCTCTCCCTTGACTCCAGGATGCACAGCCTGTGGCTCCAAAAGAGACCCCTTCCTTTCACTTGAGGAGCGGAGAGGAAGAGGAGAGAGAAGAGTAGGGAAGACTTTATTTCACATCTTGGATATCAGCTCAGCCACAACAGGATAGGCGTGCCAGTCAGAGTCATGAGGCCCCCATTCCATGCCCTAGCTCCCAGATGATCTTTCTAGACACATCCTGGACCAGAAGGGAACGTGCTGCTTTGAAGGGAAGGAGCCATTCCTGGAAGCATTTATCACCTGCTAATGAAGAGCCCTTTGGCTCTGAATAGCCACCAGCAATACCCAGGTACTATGCTGAGGGCCTTGGATGAGTCTCTGAGATCTGCTGGCTTCTGATGTGACTCAGCACATTATCAGCTGTGGTGGCTGTGGGGAAAACCTCTTCTCCTTGGTAAAAGTAGAGAAAAAGCTAAAAGGGACTTTGCCTTGCACCTTAGGTACCAGCACAGCCAGAAGGGAGTAGAGCACCAGGCAGGCTCTTGGGGTTCCTAATTCCAGGACTTGGTTCTTGAATGACATCTATTTACCTGCTCTGGGCCAGAGGGGAGTTCACTCCCCTGTGGGGTGAGTCCAAGGCCAGGCAGCATTCACTCTAAGTTGACTTAAGTGCCCTTGGGCCTTAAGGGAACATCTGTGGTAGTCTGGCAGTACTCTCTATGGTGGTGGTGGCCATGGGGTGACCACTGCCTTTGGAAATGAGAGGGGAGAGTAGAAAGGACTGAATCTTGGGGTTTGAGTGTACAATCAAACACCAAGAAGACCTCTAAGGTTTTTTACTTTAGTCCTTGACTTCCAGGTGGCACCTCTGGACCCACCCCAGGCCTGGGGAACTCACCACCCTGAAGGGAAGCACAAAGAAGTGGCTGCCTTTGCTGTATGCTGATTCTAGAGCCTTAGGGCTGTGTGTCTTGAGTGAACCAAGGCTGTAACCAGGTATTGGTTACAGCAGGCAGTGCTATGCTTGCTTTAGGTAAGATCCAGTCATGGTGGTGGTGGCCACAATGGTGCCTGTGTCACTCCATCCCCAGCTTTATGTGTCTCAGAAGACATACACACACGCTGTATGTTTGGGAGAAAGGCAAAAGAAAAAGAGGCTCTGCCTTGCAATCCAGAGAATTCTCCTGTCAGATCACAACACTTGAGTCCTTTTGAATATCTGAAAGTCTTCCCCAAAAAGATAGGCACAAACAAGCCCAGGCAGTGAAGATCACAATAAATAGCTACTTATTTAATTCTCAGACACTGAATGACACCTGCTAGTGTCAACAACATCCAGTAAAGCATATAAGCTAAATAAGCAGCAGGGAGAAACAGAGACAAGTGACCTTTAGGACCGAAAATTCAAATTAGTGATGTGAAGAAAACTCAAAGAAATTTAAGATAACGTAGGGAAGGAATTCAGAATTTTATTAGATAAGTTTAACAAAGAGGTTGAAATAATTAAAAGGAATCCAACAGAAATTCTGGAGCTGCAAAATGCGGCTATAAAAAGGAATGAGATCACGTCCTTTGCAGGGACATGGATGAAGCTGAAAGACATTATTCTCAGCAAACTAACACAGGAACAGAAAACCAAACAATGCATGTTCTCATTCATAAGCGGGAGCTGAACAGTGAGAACACATAGACACAGGGAGGGGAACATCACACACTGTGGCCTGTTAGAAGGGCAAAGGGAGGGGGAGCATCAGGACAAATAGCTAATGCATGTGGGGCTTAACATCTAGGTGACAGGTTGACAGGTGCAGCAAACCACCATGGCACACGTTTACCTATGTAACAAATGAGCACATTCTGCACATGGATCTCAGAACTTAAAGTAAAACAAAATAAAAAAAATGCAATTGGCATACTGAAGAATGCATCAGTCTTTAACAGCAGAACTGATCAAGAGCGAAACTCCGTCTCAAAAAAAAAAAAAAAAGAAAAAGAAAATACACAGCCAGACGAGACAAAAGAGGAAAGGATAAAAAAAACACAAAGCAATGAAACATGACTAAAGGATCTAGAAAACAGCTTCCAAAGCACAAACCTAAGAATTATTGTCCTTAAGGAAGAAGTAGAGAAAGAAATCGTGGTAGAAAGTTTATTCAAAGGGATAACAGAAAACTTCCCAAACTAAGAAAAGGAGATCAACATCCAAGTACAAGCAGGTTATAGATCACCAAGCTGACCGAAACCAAAGACTACCTCAAGCGATTTAGTAATCAAAATTTTAAAGGTCAAGGGCAAATAAATGATCCTAAAAGCCCAATATAAAAAAAAAATAGCACACAATGCAGCTGTAATACATCTGTCAGCAGACTTTTTAGGGGAAACACACAGAATATTTTAACACTGTAACTGTGGTGTGTGAACTACTCACATCCTAAACAGAAAGATGAAACAGTGAACCAATACAAATAATAACTACAACTTTTGAAGATATAGACAGCACAATAAGATATAAGTAGAAACAAAAAGTTAAACATCAGGGGAATGAAGTTAAGTTGTAGAGTTTTTATGAGTTTTCTTTTTGCTTGTTCGTTTATGTAAGCAGTGCCAAGTAGTTATCTGGTTAAAATAATGAGTTATAAGATAGTATTTGCAAGCCTTATGGTCACCTTGAACCAAGAAATATATAATGAATGCATAAAAATAAAAAAACAAGAAACTAAACTATATCACCAGATGAAATCATCTTTAGTAAGGGAAGATAGGAAGGAACAAAAGAAGAGAAGACCAAAATACGACCAGACATCAAATAACAAAATAGCAGGACTAAGTCTTTACTTACTTACTTATTAATGATAACATTAAAAGTAAATGAACTAGACTCTCCAATCAAAATACATAAGAGTGTCTGAATGGATGAAGAAACAAGAGCAATTGATCTGTTGCCTACAAGAAACACACTTCACCTATAAAAGCACACATAGACTGAAGAGAAAAGAATAGAAAAGGATATTGCATGCCACTGGAAATGAAACAAGAACAGGAGTAGCTGTACTTATATTGGACAAAAATAGATTCTGAGAGAAAAACTCTGAGACAATAAGGTTAATATATAATGATTAAGGCATCAATTCAGCAAGAGGATATAATAATGAATGTGCACCCAACACTGGAGCACCCAGGTATATAAAGTATTATTAGAGCTAAAGAGAGAAACAGGCCTCAATACAATAATAACCGGAGATTTCTACATTTCACTTTCAGCATTGGACAGATCCTCCAGACAGAACATAAACAAAGAAACTTAATCCATTTAAGAAAGGGCAATCACTGTGTGTTTGTCTAACAGGGCCAACACATGGGACTATGCAAATTATTCAAATGCAGTAGCCACTATATGGAAAAAGGGAAAAGTCTATATGAAATTAAAGTCATTTACTGCTCAGTAAGCCATGGGTCCCAGGATTCTTTTCATCCACTCAGAGCAAGAATTGCTTAATTCCACAAAAAATGAATTCCATACAGGTGATGAGGCCTGTGATCTATTATAAAAATAGAGAAGTGAACAACGCTGAGTCCAGAAAGGTGTAAGGAGGAGAGTGTATTTAAACCAAACCCAAGACTGTCCAGTGAGAGGAGGGAATTTTATTATATATGGGAATGAAACATGGAAGACAGGCATGAAGAGTAGAACTTACTGTGTGTTGGCACCTGAAGGTATCCAGATGTTAGGCTAAATGAGGGTAAGGAAAGGGGCATACCCGTGAGTAAGGCTGGGGGTGAACAAGCTGTGGCAATGAACATGT